TCAATGTAATTAAAATATTCCTTATCTAGAGAAAGTGTGGAAAATATATGTACTTATGTTCTTTTGTTCGATGTTGATAATTAATAGTTGAAATTAACCTRCTTGAGTTATTTCCACTGTGACAGTGTGTATAAATGGGAGTCTATATTRGAGATTTATATTGATGCTCAGACATTTGGACTGAAAGCTGCTAGCTCAGCAGCTGTTAGTAATGCCAATTTGGCAATTTCTTGGTTAGAAGCTACATTTCCTGAGTTGGCTCCACAAGCAGCGGAAGGCAGGAATCAACCTGCACTAAAATCCCATCGTTATGCTTTATTTGATGCATCTGTTTCATTGCAGGTATCCCTCTTAACTGTTCATAGTTTTTGAATGGCCCATATCAAGATAATTGATTATTTATGCAAACTATAATTTTTGGTATGGCATTCACAGGCATTTGACATAACCTAAAATCCTTGCCATGGCTAAGTTTAGTTGTTGTTTTGGGAAGGTAGCTTCCTCAATAGTTGATGATCATAAAGGTATTGAAATTTATATATAATTCATGCTTCAAGTAGCGTTTCTTCAACTCTTTTTCCACTTACACTTGTGTGATGCTAATATTTTTGTTTGAAATTTTCAGCAAACAATTGGGGGAACCACCTTGATGTTAGTAGAGGTAAGTAAGGGGCTGTTCGGTAAGGGCTGTTTGAGCCATATAACAGATATGGCTGATTCGCACAGCCATATCTTTGCGTTCGGTAAGGGCTTAATCACCGTGGCTGATTCGCACAACTATGTAACCACACTTATGTACTCAGGCATTATTTTTTCCCCAACTACCCCCACCTTATGTAATCAGCCTCTTTCTCTCTCTCTAAATTCTTAGAGATCCTTCCAACAAATAATTTCTTCAGTTAAACATCAGTAATCTCTAATTGAAATCCTACGTCAATTAAACGATCTAATGGAATTGTTTATTTCGTTTCTTCTTTCAATTTTTTGGATCAGATTGTTAATTCTATAAGAAATCTATGAAGAAATTCTGTTTTTAGTCGGAGACTGGATTCGTTAAATGGAGAATCTAATGACGGAATGTGCGAGAGGTTAAGAAAAACGATGCCAGAATTAGCGCATGATTGTCAATTTAGTGGCGGCGATACGACGACATCTTACTCATTGTCATCAAATGGATCAGTTTCGTCGAGTGGATTTCGGTCTAAGCATCGGGATGATGTTAGCTGCAATCAGCTCCAGAAGGTTCATAATTAGATTTAATTTTGTTGTTTTAGATATGTATTTGTTTGTTTTGATAACTCATTTGGATAAATGATTTGGCATTTCCATAGAACAACTTCACTGTGTTTTTGGATCTTATTGAATTTTTCATTTTTGCTGCTTATTTAGGGGCCATTTACTCAAAGGCTTACCCGGTAAGTACTTACCGATAGGAGTCA